TCATTTTACCCCTATCTGAAATTATCTTGTTCACTTGTTGATTACTTTTTAAAAAATCTGTCTCATACTATCTACCTGCCCCAAATGTGGGGCCCTGGTGGTCTTATTTACTGCTGTAGCCTCAGCCTCCAGCACAGCTCAAGGCACATAGACTCCAATAGTTAGCTTTTGAATAAATTATTGAAAGGGAAATTATTTAATGTGAGAACATGACATATTTTGACCACACCAGATCACTTTCAAAAGTTTAGGTAGGTGAAACCATTCATATTTCAGCGTGGTCTATTGACTAAGAGAATGAAACCAGATGGTCTGGCTGGACTAGTTCCTAGCTTTGTGAGCATGAGTAAATCACTTGGTTTCTCTGTACTTTGTTTTCTTGTCAATAAACTGAGAAAAGAATAAGCACTGCAGAGGACTGTGGTGAGGACTAAAAGGGGTAATGAATGTGAAGTACTGAGAGTAGTGCCTGGTCTATATTAAATGGTCAATAAACATTATATTATTTCTACATATGTTCAAGCACTAGCCCCTAGTGGGGAACCTGTGGGGCTCTGGGTGAAGGATGGAGCACCTCTTCCTTATGGCAGCTGAGCATATGGCTGGTAGAAGTATAGAACCCTGTGTACAGAGATCAGTAACCAAATGGGAGTCAGGGCAAGGTGGCCTGAGGTGAGTACCAACAGCAGGGATGGCAGGAACAAGGTTAGAAAATGGTACAGATCACTATCCAAAGATAGAAGGCTGCTGGCTGTAGACACACTCTCTTAGGGTCCCAGAGATGTACCACAAGGTGCACTGGGCCCATTGAGAGAATCTGGTGGAATAGTCACAGGTGTCTTAAACTACCTCTTTACATACTGAGAAATAACCCCCATGGTTTCTGGCCTTGTGTAATTTCTTTCGTAGCCTTATTTCTTTCACTAATCATACGGCTTCCATTATTTTTGTTCCTATTTGTATTGTAATTCTGGACATTTACTTCAGAGAAAAAGGAATCATAATTTCAGGTTAAAGGGCAGATAACCCAGAGTTTTAAGTATTAAGTCTCTGAACTCAAACAAAATGGGCATCTCCACAGCTAAAAGTCATATCTATTAGCAGTAACTGAAAAAAGGAAGAGTCACTTTTTATTCTCAGATTCCAGGACAAGAACTTACAAGAAACGCCATGCTAGATCAAGCCAATGGCTCATGCAAACAGCAGTGTTTGGTCTTTGATGATTGCTCCCAAGGAAATTCTGTTAAAGAGTCTAACTGTCCTTCTTGATGTGTCAGTCTTAAGACTGGAATGTACTAGCTTCAGCTCTTCTGTTTAATGTCATATACTCTTCCCTTTGTCCTTTCTTTAATAACTGGAACTGTTCGATTAATATATAACTTTATGAATGTTATCAAATAGGAAGGGGTTCATGGAAGAAATCTGATTGGTATTAAACTCGATGCACAGCAGGGTGTAAATGGCACTTAGAAATAATCATGTACTTTTTCTCAGACCAAAGGCATTCCGGACATTTGTCTCTCTACTAAGTAGATTTTCTTGAAGGGACAATAACTGCCTCATATTTGACAAAATAACTATTAAAAAGTTCAAAAGTAACTCAAGAATTTTAAGAGATGAGTTTCACTATTTGCTAGGAAGATATTAGTGATCAATTAAAATAATATGCAATCAAGCTCTTATGGTATTTGTCAATAACAGTCATCAAGTTAATGAATAGAAAGGTTTATAGATTTTAAAAAGTCTTTTACCAATAATTTTGAAAGATAACCACTTTTGCTGATGGTAACTGATAAAAATGATGAGTTCTACAGCATTTTTTACTTTCTAAACACTTGAATATATATGATCTCATTTTACTTCACAACAACCTTATGGGGTGGACAGAATCTGGAGTTAGGTTTCCATTTTGCAAATAAAAGAACATATGCAGAGAGGTTAAGTGATTTCTCAAAGTCACACAGTTGATTAAAGACAGTAGCAGATGTGGGTTTTTTCTCTCTTTCTCCAATTCAGTATAGCAGGCAATAGTTCTAGATTTTGTGGATAAGTGAAATTTCCAAAAACTTTTCAGAGAACTCAAAATAAGGTTGCCAATTTTGTTATTTTTCCAGGTAAAGAAAAAAATAGATGTAACTGCTACCTACTATTTCTATCATATCATAAAACTACCCTTTCTTTTAATTTTCCAAAATAGGATAAACATCATCTTAGAAAAAAAGTAGTCTTTTAAGTTCATAAAATTTGCTTTAGAAGAAAGTCACTACATTCAACTTATTTTCTCATTTTGTCATGGACTGGTGAAAACTTTTGTGGTCTAGAATTAGTTCTCAGACCAATATTTGGAAACCATTTCTCTCTTCTGTGCTGTTTCAAAAGTTATACTAGCTCTTCCATGTCTTTTCCTCCTTATTTTTCACAGTCTGTAAGAAGAAGAAACCAGTAACTACTAAAAGGTTTTCCTCTTGAAAGATGCTATTCTTCTACTGCTACTATAAAAAAAGGATGTGTATCATAAATTTACATCACAATCATAACACAGAGCTGTTGTTTGACTAGGCATGACTAGGCTGAGGGTTAGCAGGGAAGCAAGAAATGCAGAAGAAACATGGTGCTCACTGGAAAGCATGGCTCCCACATTGCTTTCATAAAAAGATAGGGCAGGAAAAATGCTTTGTGCCTGTCTTCTCATTTCTCACTCCCCTTTAAAAATCATGCAAGAAAGTTAATTAGCACAATGACTTCTGTCTGGGCAGAGGCTGTGCCACATCTATCTTTACCTCCATCATAGCCCTCCACCATTCCTTCTGCCAGTCTTGGTTTTGTAGTCTGCAAGAAATTCCTATGTCTTAAACAGCAAATAAACTTCTAATTTTATAAAACGTGATAATCAATCATTGAATTCTACTAGAAAGTCCAAGGGGACTAAGGTTTGTTCATGGGCCACTCTTAAATTGACATTTTTCATATTGGCTGTGTTGATAATTTGATGTGGATGTTAAATTTAAGTACACTCAAAAAGAAATAACTATCAAATTCCATCCAATCTCATAACCTTGGTCAAAACATGGTCTTCCAGTATCTGTGGCGTTCCTTGATGACCTCCTTAGCTTTGAGAGAGAGTTACATGAATGTATAATCATCTAGCCCTATCAGCCTAATCAAGCTCCATTATTAGTGTTACAGCAAGAATGCCTCTGAACCAATGCATTCTTATGTGGAAAGAGGTTCACTAACGGAATGTTTTAGTCAAGGAAGGTTCCCTTGATGATGGTCATGTTCTATAGGGAGGGTCACAAGGATTTCCGGTCGTCAAAGTAAGAGATTGTCAAAGTAATGCATTATTTGCCTTCTGTTTCTTTAATATATACAAATTTCAATTTTAACAATGACAAAAAAAATTTCTGTGAGATAAAGATAAATGCCTATGTATCATCAAATGATCACACCTTAATAATAATATCTGTATTTGTATAGTGTTTTTTTTAGGTGTATAAAACATTTTAATATATATCATCATTTCTTTTAAAAAATATAAGAATATTAGGAGATAGGCAATATTATTTCCATTTTATTGGATCAGAAACTGAGGCTCAGAGAGGTTGTATGATTTGTTCAAGAGCTAGAACCTGAACCCAGGTCCTTTGATCTCATGTTTAGGGGTCTTTCCATTATATACATTCTTCACAAGGACAGTCACCTCTAAAGGTGAGCATGAGAACAAAACGAACACACAAGAGCTGGCTTTCATTCCAATCAGGGAAGAAAGCCAATCTATCAACAACTTTTTAAAGAAGGGCTGCCTACAATATTAAAAAAAAAAAGGGGGGGGGGTGTGGGTTTAAACTCTTCTGTTTTCTCACCACTACTATATGCCAATGCTGTTTGTGTTCCTTCTGTTCACTTCTCTATAATTCATCACATAAGCCTGACAATATAGGGATGGCTATGAACCCAGAATTTATTTGGTATATAAGTAAAACTTATTAACAAGCTATCGCTTTCATTATACCCACTCTCCCAAGATAACTACTTTTGTGACACTAAATTTTAAAAATTGTTGGAAATGTTGTTAACCACATATTTTTGTTGTTTACATGCTAGGCAATGTATATTCCGTAATTTCCAACAGCTATCCAAAACACACAAAACAGATTATATACAATCTATACTTTGCAAAACAAAACGACAACAAAAACAACAGCTAAATTAGAAACTCATAACTTCCAAGGGGTTACTGGATATTTATTAACTATGTAAAAATATAATCACCATTGCATGAAACATTTATAAAGAAAAGCTTGTCTATTTTAAGTGGACTAGTCTTGGAAGTCAAATTAGGACTGTGCTTTCTGAAATTTACAGCTAGTGTTAATTCAAACAAAAAGTTTGGACGGTATTAACTAATGCTAATATGATTATTATGAACATTAACCTTGCAGCTTACTTGGACTCTTTTTTTTAAAAATCTTTGATTACATGCTCTGTGCATGATTTAAAAACAAAACAACAACAACAAAACCCAGGATCATTAGGAATCATTTCCAACATCAGGACAAATAAGCGAGGTAAACTAGGAGTGGTTACTTCTTTGCCCCTAGTGCTCATCATTTAGCTTGTTTAACATGTTAATTTCTACATATGTGAATAAACAGCAGAGGCAAACAACTGCAGACGGCACTGTGTGCTAGCAATCATTGTGGGTGGGTAAACTGACAACATGTATCTGCATATTAAGACAAATGCAGAATTTAGACAAAGTATTCCATCTCTCTTTTCAGATGTATACTTTTAAACCTCAGGAACTGTTTTCAGTAGATGTCATGCCTTTTAACTTGAAAAAAGATAAGCGCAAATAAGCTCCCAATTGTCTCCCCAATATGTAAACCACATCTCAGGCTGCTGTCTCCGCTACTCCTTTGAAGTTTCCCTGAAATGTCATGTGTTGTGAAGACTGCTGTGCATAAGCAAGACAATTTGCTCACTCTCAGAATTCTTACCGGTTTCTACTGCTATTTGGTATCCAGCCTCTAGTCTCCGAGATGACCTTTCCAGCCTCTCTGTGTTATCGAGCAGATGTGCCCTCTGAAAAAGAAAAAGGGAAAAAAATCAGATGGCCGTCTACAATGTTCTTTTTTTGCTTTTTTTAAAAAAAATAATGCTTTCGTATGACCTAACATTCAAGGTGGGGGTGGGGGGAGCACAACACATTATAGATAATTTTTGGCAAGTCTTCCATTGTAAGAACCACTACCATGGACAGATTTCCAATCAATCGTGTATGGACCATCCACCTTTTTGTTTTAAAAGGCAGACTCATGTTGCGTGTGGCCACAATGAATCTTACTCCAAAACACTGAGAAATGTACAAAGACCAGAGCCAAGTAGCTCTTCTGTCTCAGCAGAGGTAGATTATGAGTCACTTACATAGCTCAATGATCCCTACTTGTATTTATTTTTTATAAAATGCAATCATTTCAAAAACTCATTTGTTCTTTTGATTCCTACGCAGTAATTTTTAAACAGGAACTTTATTTTTAAGAGAACGCTCCTCAATTTTGGATGTGTGGCAAGATGCCATATAGAACAACATATACTACCAACACAGAATTCTAAATAGCAGTGCTAGTATTAGGGCCACTAAGAACAACCACCAAGAAACAAGAGACACATGCTTCCCCATGCACACAGATGTACAAATTGTGGGTTTATCACCCAGTATATGGCACTAGATTTGAAGTGAACCTTTAACACAGTGTTTTAGTTTTTGAACTAAAATTATAACAATTATACAGTATACACCTATTTCATATCACACCTGCTGGAGAAGAGGATATTCTCCAAATTCTGAGCTTCTAAACTTGCTTTTATACATTTAGACTGTTTCTTTCTTTCCTTTTTTCAAACCACAATAATTATATATTAGATATATTGAGGCTGCCGAATTTTTATAAACTAATCATGGCTGTAATATGCATGTACCTGTGAGTTGATGTGTGCATGTGTACATACTCATATAAATACTTAGAAATGTATGCATATGCGTATCTGTGTATTTGTGTGTTTGTACATGAATACATGTATTTGTATAAATTACTATTTGCCCCCCTCCAATCAGCTTTGGTATCTGGTCAAAAAGAAGGAAAGAAAAAACCCAATCACAACTTCTACAACTTTGTGTTGTTGACAGATGTCACTTAAAATCGAAGAAATGCTTTCCAATAATAATAAAAAAGGAGGTGCCACACATATTATCTGAGTGGCTGTTGAGTGAAACGATCTACCTTGCTCTAATGAGCCCCCATGGATCTTGGAGATGCAAGCTGTACTGACATGCACACTTAAGCTAATACACCTAGACCAGTGCCTCCAAGCTCTAGCAGCCAGGGATGCTGACAGAATATCTCGCTTCCATCTTCAAAGAAAGGAAGTGATTAGTATGTTATCATTACCATTCAAAATGTGATTTCCTTATTCCCTCCCGGCATAGGTGACACATCTGAGATGCGGCCAGACGTTGGAGGCAGCTAAAGCCACATCAAAGCTTTCCTTGAAAAAAAATTGAGGGGGGAGATGGTTGCGGGGGAGGGAATCATTAAAACAATGCATTTAGAACAGAGAGATAGGACCTGATGTGAAGGTCAGAAAGCTGCAAAACAGTCGATAATAATTAATAGAGTTGTCTAATATACAGTGAAGAAATTAAAAGAAAAATTGCCCCTGCCTCCCCGCCACAAAGAAAAACAAAAACAACTAAATAAATAAAAGGGAAAAAAGAAAAAAGAATAAAAATAACAAGAAAAACAAAATCACTAAACACTAGAGTGGAGAAAAAAAAAAAAAAAAAAAAAAAACACCAAGGGGAGCTCCATGTGTTTGGCGCTGATGACTATTCTTAAATAAACACTTTTCTAAACTTGTCAAAAATAGCTTTCTTACTGCTGATTCTCTCTGCATGCAATGGTTTTGGAGGTAGGGATCACTCTTCCCTTCCATAACTATTATTTTCTACCTTAACAAAGGGCTTTCACTTCAAATTGAGGATGCTTTAAAAAGATAACAGTCAGATCTGTGAAATCAAGAGTAAATCTGAATTTTCATCCAGAATAAGAGATCAAAAATTTGTGGTTCATTTTTCATATTGAGAGAAGTCCTCATGTTAAAAGAAAACATTTAGCTACTGTAGATTAAACAAAAAAACTCAAAGATCAATACTGGAAATGGACCTTCTAATTAGATGATTGCATATAATATAGGAAATAAACACTTAAATGTAGAATGATTTTTGGGATTCCATGAAAGGGAACCAAATCAGATTATGCAATGTGTGGCTATAACGGATATCTAAATTTCTAAAAGAACTTTTCTAAAAATATGTATATTCCCAAATAACGTGAGTAACTCTTCCCAGGCCAGTTCAATTTTATCAGAGTATATCTGCACGCAAGAGGACCATCCGTTTACCAGCAGCTTTCCAGCAGGATCTCACTTTGTATTTTGGAACCTCTTCACTTAAGTCAAACTAAAATCAAGCTCTTTTAACAGCGGCGCTATTTACATTGTTCCCTTAGTTGTACATTGCCCTGGTCTCGGAGAATGAAAGGCAATACGCTACAGGAGCAGCAGATGCTTTCAACTTGCCCGCACACTCCATCCCAAACTCATTCTCTCACCCTCTTCTCAGCCCTTTTCAAAGCAGGTAAGTGAAGCTGTGCAGGAGCTTCAGACAGTGCTCAACGTGTGTGGGGAGCTGTGCAACGTGGAGAGATGGAGACGCAGGATTCACACGGCGCGCACGGCACAGCCAGCGCCGGCTCCTGGCCTCTGCACCACCACGCTCCCTTCACGCACGCCCCATCCGATCTGAGCCCGAAGAAAGCACCCCAAGAAAGGACCCGGCACACTTACTGTCAAACACAGCAAAACATCACATCTCTGAGTAGATGCGTGCTTGTCTTCATAGCACAGTTACAAGTAAGAAATCTGGGGTAACTTTCACTATACAATTACTATTTGAATCCTGGCTGAGAAGCAATCACTGCTGAGCAAACCATAACCCAATGCAGTGTCATCACCGTAATCTATCCTGTAAATATCAATGCTGCATCCATATCAAAGACTGTTAAAAAAAAAAAAATCTTCCAGTGCATAATTCCATTAATTGCACGATCTAATTCTTCCAGTTACAGTCCTATTACAGGTTACAGTTTCGTAAACATGCATTCCAGAACCAAAACTGATGAAACTGGTGCTACAGGCACAACAAAAGAATTAAGCCATCAAACAACACTACAGCATATTTTAAAAGAAACGTAGACGTGATAGATTCAGCTTTTAGAAATAAGACTTCTAAGTCCATACAATTCAGCTTAATAAAATAAACGTTTGGTCGAAAATGCTGACTGTAATAAGGCACAAGATTTTATAGGTCATATTCACTGCTTAAATTTAGGGCTGAGAGTTTCGTGGAAATCTTTTGTAGAGGTTCTCAAGTCTATTGTTAGGTTCCATTAATGTCTGAAAATCCAGACTTTACCTAAGCATAAGCATATACAAATACATAGAAGCAGATATTCTGAAAACTAATGTTGATGTATCACCCACCACAAGAGCAATCTTAACACATCAAAACTGCAATTGATTATTTTCATTTAAGATACATATATGCTTCTATGGAAGGAAGATGAAAAACGCAAAAAGGTGAGGCAATTGTTTATTTCCCCCCTTCATTTTGTATATCATTATTACTTTCACTATGAAAAAGCATCACTAATGCATCTTAAATGGGAAGACTGGTTGAAAACCACAATCTATAAGCCTCTAAAATCAGCATTCACATCACCTAAAGAATGATGATATACTAATAATTAAAAACAAAAAAACCCAAAAAAACTTCTAGGAAAATCTCCATCAAGGGAGTCAATCTACACATAAAAATAATTCATAGTGCTCTGGTTATCACAAGCAATTAGACATCAGTTTTCAAATTGCAATATGGGCCATTATTTTATGCCCTAATATAAAAATGCCAAAACTCAGTCTCACTATATAAAAAATATAATAACTGTTCTATCTTTGACGGAAGTACCAAAGAATATTTGATATGTTTGGCTTAAGAAAAATAAACAACAGACTCATTCAGCATCCCTCACTGATATGGGATAAAATTATAAACACCACTGTAAATATTTGCTGGGACACATAAAGAGTCTGGAGCTGCACTATGAAACAGACTAGCAAACTCAGGAAAATGAGAACTCACTTGGGTGCTATTCTCTACAAAAGGAAAAGTGTTTAACAATGATGAGAGCTTTGGCTATTCTTACGTATCTGTGTACACAGACTAGAAGGGCATTTATAACATATGTGTGCTTCCCCAGAAGGATAACAGATCCATAGTGTCTCAGGATTTTGGGAAAGAAGTTGATTTAAAAACACTTTTCAGTAAAGTATGCCAGAATATCAGAAAAAAATGTTAAATCATATTTCCCTCTTTGAGAAACTAACACAAATAAAATAAACCTGAAGTTAGAGTCTATATTAAAACTATACCCTGGTATCATTTTAAGATATTCCTTTATTTTTCCAAGCCTTTAAAAATGTACTTTTCCCCTGATGCCACCAAACAACAATGCTGCCTGTGATAAGCATGTTTAGGATATAGTTGTTTTTAAAAGGTGGTCAGCAGAGAACATTTCTAAGCAATATAATCAGTGACTTTGCTATGTATAGAGTTCCCTGGAAAAATTAACCCAAAGATCGACTTCAGATTCAGAAAATCAATTTTATAGGGAAAAGCAGAATGAAAAAAAAAAAAAAAAAGCTAGGAAGTACTCACCTCTTCACGTAATTTTATCAACTGCAACATGAATGCACCAAAAAAAAAAAGATAAAAAGGAAAGAAATGGCAGGAAAGAAAGATCAGTTGTGTGACAGGATACAGAATTAACATTGACAATTTATCTGTTTACATGTTTAGCATTTAGAAACCACAGACAAACACATTAAAAGAACCTAAACATAGACTACATGCAGAGTTTTTTGAACGAATAAAGATCACTTTCTCGCACTGTCACATTAAACAA